TCATCCAAATCACTAAAAGTACTTGGAAGAAAATTATAATAAATCGAAAGATTATTAAGACTTTAACACTCTGTAGCTACGAAACAAAGCAGAATCTGACCTATGTTGATATGAAAAATAAGTCTTATTTTTATGTGAGGAATCTCCCCACGAGAGATAGCACATGTTTTTGGAACACCCTATATAAAAGTCAAAATTAGGTATATCAATCTTTCAATACGAATAGAAAAAAAATGATAAAAATCTAACATACAGTTTTTGATCAGTTCAGAAAAAAATATTTTTTAAGATTTATGAATGATGGTACAACAGCGTTTGATGGAGTTTATTTTCAGAAAAGTACTAAAATAATCTCCTTATCTAAAGAAGTTTATTTTCAAATACTCTTATACTACAGGATGGATCCAACCTGACGCCCTGATTAATTTTCAATAAAAATACAACATTGGTTGACGCTATTAAAAATGATATTTTTTTTTGTATACACAGGGTAAGTCTTAATAAGTGCAAATATTTTCTGGGCTGGTAGATCTTGATAATAGTATATTGTAGTAAGAGTAAAAATGATATGAGAATTGTGGCGAGGCTGTACGTTTGACGTACGACATACAGCCGAAACGTTTGACGTACGACATCACAAACGAAACAAATATTTTTTTAAACAATTTCAAACGTTTCAAATAATATAAAAATATTTAAGTCATACCTTGCATGTAATTATACCGGGTGCGTCTCAAAAGTGGCTCACACCTATAACTTTTTTTATTTTTTGAGTTAAAAACGAGGTTTGGTATGTTAGTATATGACATAAAGTAGGATTGATTGACGTATTCAATTGTTTTTGGTCATTTCCTGTTTCACCGGAAATAACTGCAACTTTTGATGTTTAAATGACACCCTCGCTATTTTTTTACTTTAATCGATAGAAAATAACACTCTGAATAGAATGTCATATCATATGTCAACTTTTGACATTTTCGCATATGGTTTATTTGACATTATAACTTGCGGCTCGTAATGAAAATTTGACTCAAAATACCACGTGTATGGTATCAAATTATTCGTAAAAGGATGCTTTTTCGAAATATGCTAATGAGCCACACTCCATCCATTTGAAAAAATTGAGATATTATTAAAAATACGATTTGACCATTTTCTAACTGGCCAGGACAAGACACTAAAAACATTAGACGATCAAATCTATTTTTCCATGGCTCCTTGATTAAGAATTAGTGTTTTTAACATAGCCATGGCACACTAGATTGAATTTTAAAATACGATTTTTTATTAAGCGAGAATGTCAAAAGTTGACATATGACATGTTATTTTATTCAGAGTGTCATTTTTTGTCGAATAAAGTAAAAAAATACCGAGAGTGCCATTTAAAAATCAAAAGTTGTAGTCATTTCCGGTGAAACAGGAAGTTGACCAAACCAAAAGCAATTGAATACGTCAATCAATCCTAATTTATGTCATCATATACTAACACACCAAATCTCGTTTTTCTTTTATCTGAAAAAATAAAAAAGTTATAGGGGGTGAGCCACTTTTGAGACGCACCCGGTATATCGAGAACTATAGTTACGCTCGTTGAATTTAACACTTTATGTCAGTTTAATAATATATTTTCGTACTTTTATGCTTAGGGTAAAAGTTGCGTAAATGTGCTTTACCTTTATGCCTAGGCGTTAAAACGATTTTTTTATTTTGTCAATCAGGTCGCAAAAATTAATATTTTGGTGACGTTTGAAAAAAAAAATTCTGTTTGCCGTTTTTGAAATAAGTCCATAATAGTCAAGTTATTAGATTTTAAATATACCCTTTATTAACTTTAGAAAATTTATACATAAAAATTATTTTTCGCTTTAATTTTGAGAACTACGGTATTTTTTTATTTTGTTGTTCTTCTAAATTTGACGTACTACATATTATGTTGCCATATTATCAAAATATAAACTTTTTAACTGAAAATTGCTTTCGCCACTTCAACCAACCAACCAAAAATATTTAGAGGTTAAACGACTTACCTGTAAGGAAGTTCAATCCTCAATTATACGAGATAGCCCCGTCCGAAGAGATCACAATGTAGTCTGTGCTACTCAGCTTTTTCGGCGTAATGTTTACAAAATTAAAAAGATTTATGTCCCTTGGTCGTCGCCAGTGTAACACAGCCTTTTCATTTTTCATTATGTTTTTCTATTTCCCCGGATCGAGAATTTCTTGGGCTGCACCGCTGTAGTGGTGCGCGGGGAAGGTGGGTGTGATCTCTTCGGACGGGGCTATCTCGTATAATTGAGGATTGAACTTCCTTACAGGGAAGTCGTTTAACCTCTAATTATACTTCGATAGCCCCGTCCTCGAGATCACAATGTAGATGTTGAAAGCATATGTTCTCGATCTGAGTCTGTACTTTCATGTTCACTACGAGAGTAGTTATATTTGTTGTTTAGTTTTACTTGAACAAAATATTTATTCACATTATTTTAAAATGTGATGCCTATTACCAACAAAGTTAAATCTAAAGTAAATGATAAGTTTGTATATAAAATTTTGATTAGTTTAAGTTGTCTTTATTTTCCCATTATTAACGAAATATTGTGCTTATAACTTAGAGCCTTCATGTAGAGGCCTATTATAAAATAAATTAAATGTATTGGATTTATAGCTCTATCCAGCTGCACCTCGAATGTTTTCGATATTTAGTCCTCGTTGAAAGACTGCTGATGTTGATGAGTGTCTCGTACTATTTGATTTTAAAATAGATGCTATGCAAAGACATGGATTTTCTCTAAAATATGGGAGTACAATTTTTGGTTAACATTTCCTCGTACAGACGGTTTTATAATATCTGTTAAATTTTTCTCTAGTCTGTCCTCAAACTGTTTTATATTACTACTAACTGTTTTATATTGTTACCTAATTTTCGTGTTTGTATTCTCTGACTTGTTTTAAAAGCTAGTAAAACTATAGATTTGTAGGTTAGTTTTTGAAAGGCAAGTGAATCTTAAGGTTCTAATGTTTCTAAATAAGAAACGGATTTTCGTCCCATGTCTCATTGTACCTTGGGAAAATAAGTCTTTGTCTGAAAACCTCCTTCATAAATCTAGTTACTGATGCCCTAATATGGGGAATCAGACTTGAGATTACCATTAAGAAAATATGACAATTCCTTTAGCTTTTCCAGCTATTATCTTCTTTAAAGCCTTATTAGTAAGAAGGGAAAACGATGGAAAAACCAAAAAAAATGTTTTAAAAAATTTTATTGTTGATTCACAAATTTCTTTGGTTACTGTATTTAATTCTGGAAATTTTATTCCTCCCATTCGATTTACATAACAGATTGTAGTGGTATTATCCATTCTCAGTAATATAAATATATGGCATTCTCTGTGCATTTTTGAAAAGGTTTTTAACCCGTTAAAAGCCTTATTGGTTCTAAATGGTTTATATGAGAGGTGCGTTCTACATTATTCCAAAACTCTCTTGCCCTCACACGTAGCCCCCATTCATAAATACTAGCGTCCGGGGTTAGCGAATATATTTCCTTTCTGAAGCTCGTTTTGCAATCAGATATTTGCTAACCACCAAGCGAAAACTTGCTGTAACTTTTTGGTATTTCTATTGTTTCGTCGTAGTCTCCGTAAAATTTATTTAAAGCTTTATACTTTTTTTTTCAAACATTTTATATGAGCCCAACCATACTGAATAGCTGGGTAAACGGAGACGAGGACGCTCCCTATTTTCGCATATTTCCTAATTTGGGTATTTGTTTTTGCTTAAGATTTTTTTTTAAGTGAAATTAAGTTTTCGACCTTTTCTTTGGGTAATGACATTATCAAATTATTGCTGCTGTTAAACTAAAGGGCAGACATGTGAATTCCTAAAATTGATCGTTATTATTAAACTTTAAATATTTCCTTTTTTTTTAATAATAAGAATAAGAAAATATGCATCTTTTAAATCTATGGTTGTCATTTTTCTGCATAATTTGCGTAACGGTTCTGAAATCCAATTTAGAGTGGGGACTCTCAATGTTTATTCCTCAAGAAATAAGATGATATTCATGAATATTCATTTTACAATGTTTCGTTTTTGAATAACACCTATTTTAAGCAGGTTATTTATGTTCTCCAGTATTTCTGTTAGCGAATTACTTTTAAATATATTTAAAAAAATATTCCTCTGGACTGGTCGCTTTATGAAAGGAGTTTTATATCCTTTCACTCAGCTTAAAATTACTTTATTTGTGCTGATTTTTTCTCAAGTGTGAAAAAAAAACTAATTTTGCCTACATAGCTTATCTCCAGTGTCGTCGGTTTCTGTTGGTAGCGGTCTGGAAAAACCTAAAAAAGGCCTATATCCAACACTGGATGGAACAAGGCTGAAAAGAGGAAGAAGATAAAACCTTTGTTTCCCGCGACCCTCTATGAACGTTAGATGTGTTAAGCTGGCTTGTGTGCACGCGTAATCCGTGCACTCGTAGCTTGATGATATTGATAGCTTGTGAGATTGATATTACCGTCAGATTGGGACTAGTGTTTGGAATTTTGGGTGTGGCTTAACACGACAGGTTCGGGCTAGGCAGATTTCTGAAATATAATATATGTTTCCTTCGGCCACACACCTGCTTTACCCGACCCCTGACAGCGACCCGAACAGTACAGCGTAATAAACTCGTAACGCCAAATAAAAATTCGACGAAAATTTTGTATATACGTTTTTCGTATGACGAATTGTTTTTGCAGTAAATAATACTAATGAGAGAAAGACAATTTTTTGTCTCAATGAAAAGTGATGAATTTGAATCACCTTATACAAGATATAAATATATCAATAAATGCGTATTTCATTAATATTTTATTTTCATAAGTGCTTAATCATGGAGTTATTATTTAATAAGTAGGTAATAAAAAATGGCTTTTCTCTATGCATTTATAAAATATATTTACATAAATATATATAGGTATGTATTACTAATTATAAAAGCAAATGTTACATACTGTTAATCAGCAAAATTTTATTTCAAATTCTTTAATACAAAATTGACTTAAATTAAATATGTATATAACGTTATATAAATTAAATATGTATGTAAAGTATAAAGTTGATAAATTTCTGTAGATCCTTTTCACAAATACCAGGCTTTTCACAAATACTAGACTTATCTCTAAACCCTCATTGTAATTTTTTCAGTAAAAATTAATTCCATAATATTTGTGCCTAACAACTAACTAAATAGATATGTCACACAAATTTGCTAAATTGGAATACATTACAGTTTATGAAGACCCTCTTCACAAACATCACATAAATCTTCTATCAAATCTTTCAGAGTTTTCTTGTAATAGGGATGCTTCTCCATCATCTCTTTAACAAATTCCGACCTATCTTTAAGCATTATTACATCGAACTTTTCTTGGTTTGTAAACACATCTTGCCTCTCTTCCACCAAATTGATTGGACCATAAAGCAATGCTTGGCATATTCCCTCAGCTTTCATATAATCGCAACTTTCCAGGAACTCCTTTTTTGGCAAGATCTTTTCGATATTTAAGCCAAAATTATCGATGATATTTGTTAGGTTTTTGTAATAGTCTTCAATGAAGAACTGTAAGTATTTCGTTCTTGATTCTTTTGCAGTTGTGAGGTAGATATGCGACATAAGATCCTGAGCTGGCGGACAGTACCTGGTCAGTTGGTAGTCGACGATTTTACAGTCTATGGGACTTTTATTTTGGTTAAACTTGAATAAAACGTTTGTAGTCCAAACGTCTCCGTGACAGAATGTGTTACGGAATTGTGAGCTCGGCTTTAGTTTGATATAAACGTTTCTAAAAGCTTCTTGACTCCTTTTGATAAACTCTTCCATTGAAATTTGTTTCGGTATGTCGGTAAACAGAGGAATCAGATACTCTGTTATAGCCTTAATACCAACTATCGTCATTTGAGCCACATTATCTACCTCTTCTGTTTGGAACAATATTTCTTTCAGATATTTCCCAAATGTACGGTTCATTCTAAATTCCTTGCCTTGTTCGATTGATTTCATTTCCTCGTACACCAAAGAACTTGCGTGCAGTTTAGCTAATTGTCGGATAGTTAACCTTGTCATGTCGAAGGTGTAAAAAATCGGAGGTTTAACCAGTTCGTAATTTGATAAAGCTAAATTATCCAAAATCAAAACATAGTTCACTTTGCTAAAGTAACACTTCGGAAAAAAATCTAAATACGGTCCTAGACCTACCCGCTTAAAATCCTTTACCAAGGCTGTGTAGAAGAAGTCTTCTTTTTCTGAAGGTCCACTTTTAGCCATAGAGTTAGTAGATTCGTTTAAACTTGGCAAAAATTTTGAGAATAAGTTTATTTCTTGATCTGTCCCATTTATTCTATAATGTATGTTTAAAATGTAGTAATCACCTAAATTACCTTCACGTTGGTTAATTGAATTCCAGGAAATAGTCTTCAGTTCAAATTCCGAATATCCTAAGTAAGTTTTCAATATTTCGCGACAATCTTCGTTGGATAATTTAGGAGAAAATGTTTTTCGTGAATCACTTTTATTTTGTTGACTTTCAGCGGACTCATTATAATTCGTTAAACTCTGTTTAGAACTATTGTCACTGTCCATCTTTCACCGCAGACTGACGAAAAATAAATGAAAAGCAACAACTTGGCGTACCTGATATAAAAAAGAAATTATTCGCTGCGCACTCGTTAAGCTAATCATCGTGGGAATGAAATGACTATTTTTAGCTTATCGCATATAAAGAGAACGGTTGGTGTACAATAGTGCTGTTTTAGTAGAATGTAGATATTACATATTGTTAACATTTTTTAACCAAATAATTATTTTCCGCGGTAACATACCTAAGATCGCGCATTTGAAACGTTAACTTAATGATTTCCATGTTTTGTCGATACTACTTACTTTCGGTACTAGCAAATTTTTGTTCAATGATTATTATTGCAGTTCGTTAACCAATAAGTAAGGAAGGGTTTCCAGAAGTAAAAGCGATAGAAATGAGTTTTAAATGAAAATTATATCAAATCATTATCAAATTATTAAGTAATCTGTCATGAGAAAATTAACATGAACACAAATGAACACAAGCGCATAAAAAAAAACGAAAAATTCGTAGGTATCTTATACATCAAACAAAACACCGAATAAAAACGACGTCAGCGATGGCTATGAAATGACGATCAATGACATTTCCCATATAATTTTACATATAAAATGACAGCGATATTCATTTCATAGCCATCGCTGACGCCGTTTTTATTCGATCGTACGGTATAAATCAACTTAACCAAATTTGAAAATGAACCCTAAAAATTCCTATAAAAATATAATATAAATATAAGTAATACCATATGATAGAAAAAAACCGGCGTCAGCGATGGCTATCAAATTAAGATCGATGTAATTTTATATGTAAAATTATATGGGGAATCTCATCGCCGTTTTTTTTTCGATCAAAAGGTACAATTTAGCAACATTATACTAACTAATAAAATAATATATTTACACATTTACACAATAATTGCTAATAAATATTATAGGAACTTCAAAAGAACTTCAGAAGTAAGAACAATAATACCGGGTGCGTCTGAAAAGTGGCTCTCCCTATAACTTTTTTTATTTTTTCAGATAAAAATAAACGAGACTTGGTATGTTAGTATATGACATAAATTAGGATTGACTGACGTATTCAATTGTTTTTAGTCACTTCCCATTTCACCGGAAATGACTACAATTTTTAGCCGACCATACCAACAGGCCTGCCTGCCTACCCGTCTGTAACACGATAACTCAAAAGCCGCTAAACCGATTTTAACCAAATTTGGCACAAAAATACTGTGGCACCCGAGAATCTGGCCATTAGATTTTGGTGGGGGTGGGGGGTTGGTAAGGGGATATGGGAGGGGGTTAAAAATTTTAAAAAATCGTAACTCCGAAATTACAGTAGCTAGCGAAACGCGGTTTTCAATTTAAGATTAGGAATAATATTTGCAACAAAATTTGGAATAACATCAAAATCAGTCAAAGTCGCAGTTTTTGAGATAAAAAAAATGGAAAAATTCGTTTACTTTGAAACTAAAATAATAATTTCGAGTCCCGGTTCTTGTCCCGGTATGTTGGTGAAGTGTTACGTGTTGCTATATAAAATAACGGCTTTATAAAGACGTCAAAAATTGGTTTGGCGTTATTATTATTAGCGCAAATAAAAATAGAATGGATTGAATATTCAACTAGCCAATTTAGGGAGGCGGTTATAAATTTGGTCCAGTTAAACTATACACGTGGCAAACTACATGGACCTTGCCGGATTAAACATATCCTCTTTCCGATAATGATAAAAAAAAGGATGGGTTAATAAAAAAAATTATATACAGGGAGGTCCGAACTGTATTCCGGAAACTATGAACGACAGTCGGACGACTGTATGAGTACGTTATTTTAGCCAGCGTAGTTCACACCTTTCCGATACGTGATTCATCCCCGCTTCTACTCGATTCCGTTCCTGCATCCGTTCGTGTTCCGATTGTCAGTCTATTCGTCGATGCCGGCTGTAGGACGAGTGTCGTTTTGAACTATTTTGTTTGTTTTTGTTTTTGCTGTGTTATTTTTAGTTTTTTACTAAAATAATAAAAAATGTCAACAAGAAAACCGGAGGAATTAATTGAAGAAGTGAGGAAATATCCAGTGCTGTATGTCCAGACCAAAGAGCAGTACCGAAACTCCGACTATAAAGATATGAAATCTGCTTTTTTGGCTGTTCTCTATAAAAGCTTTCCCATTTTCCTCATCTTCTTCTTCCAAACAAAGTTCCACCATGGCTAAATCACTGTGGCTGAAATTATTAAACATTTTGCGCACACGACTTTATGCGATGATTGTTGAATCAAGACTGGCGATTGTATCCAGCCGAAGCCCGAAATCGTGAAGGAGTCGGAAGCATGTATGACATGTGTTTACTCACTATTTCCGATCCCACAGCGATCCGCTTCTGGGGCAAAATCGGACCGGAGCCGGATCGGAAACGTGCATGATAGGTGTGTCCCGGCCTTAAAATAACGTACGATTTCCCTCTCATACAGTCGTCCGACTGTATGATCGGAGCCGGATCGGAAACGTGCATAATATGTGTGTCCCGGCCTTTATACGTAATATTGTCATAGATGCTTCCGACTCCTTCGCGATTTCGGGCTTCGGCTGGATACAATCGCTACGATGTAGGGCCCCAGTAATTATTAGTAAATAGTCTAATAAATATTTAATTACTAAAAATGAGAGACTTAAAAATAGAATAATAGGTAGCTAAATTTTCTTTTCTAAAAAAATTCTATTAGCTGCAATAAAATGTGTTGGGCACTAGACGAAATGTAATGGTGTACTTTCAACAGTAAAGAAAATCGTGCTAGAAATCCTTCAAATATACTTTTGAACAAAAAAGATCAAATTTAGCGATTTCTCATGTCTAAGTTAAAAAGGTTCTTCTTCACTTATCTCTTGAAAACTTCAAATACAGAACAACATCCTTTTCTCTAACCACTCGAGACTAGAGCGAAAATCAATTTTTCGATAAAAGTATTAATATTTGAAAAACCTCTTTATCACCTGATACAATTTTTTATAAAGTCGAAGCACTCATCAAAGACTTTATCTATTCAGGAAGAAATCATAAGGTATTAGCTTTGTATTAGATAATTATTCTGTTAATTGCTTGTATTTATATTGATGATCTTAAGTATTGTTCAGAAATATGCATATAGAACATTAAGTGTAATATTATCCATTTCTTCTAAATTCTGTCCAACGAGTCAGAAAAGATTTCGAAGACGACATCCAAAAAAAGACACATTTAATATGTGCATTAAAATGACAGACAGAACTGTCACTATCGTGTATCCTCTCGATAGACAGACCATACTTCACACTTAAGGCCGTTATGTACTAATAATAGGAATTCGGGATAAATAAACGAGATGTAGGGACAACAATATACAGGGTGAGACTTAAATAAGTGCAAATATTTTTAGGTCTAGTTAAATTTACAAGATAGATTAAATTTACAAGAAAGGAAATCAAGAAAAGATCCAGTAGTTCTCAAAATTTCTTTTATCGAGATCTACCAGCCCTGAAAATATTTGTACTTATCTAAGACTCACCCTGTATAGCATATATTTAACTTGTGACCTATATAGAGGGTGTTTCAAAAAACACGTGCCATATGTCGTTGGGAGATTCCTCATGTAAAAATTCTTAACAACCTTTAACTACGATTTATTATAATTTGCTTCCAAGTACTTTTCGTGATTCGAATGAAATTTTAAAGGTAAAAGTTACTATAAGTCCTACATATTTTAATGCTAAAATGTGTCGATAAATTCATTATGTGCGCCACTGACTTTTTTTTTCTTTTGATATCAAAATTGTGTAAGGCGCTTAATGTCAATTAAAAATTATCTCTTGATATTTTGTCGAATTCGGTCTCCTTGATGAGATAAACGCAATTTTATTAATCACAATTAATAAAATTAAAATTAAACTAAATTGAATAAATTATATATTTTACCTAATTTATTATTAAATAATATTACTATTAGTTATTAGTATTATTAGTCCAGCCTACACAATTTCAAATAAAAAAATAGTGGTATTTAAGATAATTACAAAAAACTTAATTTTAAAAAATGTTAACATCCTGTAACTCTAAAACTATGCATTTCCATACCCATATTTATAGGAACTTTTATTCATATTTTTTTTTATAAGAAAGCAATGAGTACTTATTTAAAACTTTCGCAAGTTAATGATATTATTTTTTAAAAAGGTTGCTATTAGCACAGATTAGGTATACTATATGTATACAGATAAAAATCTTATCCCTAATTCGTGGTACGAAAATTGTTTTTATGACGATGTGCAAACGAGTAAAATTTCCTGTGCGCAAAAATAAACTCGCGTAAAATAACAATAAACAGCGTAATAGAGAGATATCGGAAACCGAATAGCGTGCATGGACGTTAATAAGGCCAGATGTTATTTCCTTTACGTGAGGTGGTACTAACTCTCTTCATTTATAGTTATCGGATCGGAAAGAATTCTGTTCGCGTCGCGTCGCTATTTAAACTTAACCTAACTTTGAAATTGTTTTGTTTACTAGCTATTTTAAAACTAAAGGGCTAAAGTGCTTACTTCCAGTGCTTTATTGTTCAACGTCTGCCAGTCGGTTTAGGGCAACAAGCAACAAATTCTCTTAGAAGGGCTAAGTCGTCTTCTGCTGTAAACCTAAGCCTCTTTATAGGTTCTTTAATATTGGAAGAGGTGGAATCCATATTTTGGGCCATATTTATTTAATTAACACTAATCCCAGCTACTTAAATATCAAATTACCTAATAAAACTAAAGTAATAATTCCAAATAATTCAAACATAACCTAAAATAAAAGATCTCGCCGGCCGGTCCCGGTTGTCAAATACCCGCACATGTCCATTTAAGCAATTTTTAAACGTTATTTTAGAAATAGCGCTTGGCGTAATTGATCCGCAAATTACGTCAGGCGGTAACGTTATTAGCGGGTGTTGCGTTAAAAATTGACTCGCGCATATCGTAACCATGATAAGGTACACGTAAATACTGCATGACGCTATTCGGTTTTCCTATATCTCTCTGTGTGTTCCTATATCTCTCTAACTGTGCCGGTCAGGCGCTGTGCACAATTTTAGAGGCCATAAGTGGGCGTGCTATGTGCGCAAACTAGTAACCTAACTAATGCCCGATTCCGAAAATTGGACCCACGAAAAACAATAAAGAAAAAACAAAGTTTATAATCTGTGCTATTAGACTTGGACCAAGGCAAATTAGTAAAATTGCGTTTATCTCATCAAAGAGGCCGAAATCGATAAAATATCAAGAGACAACTTTTAATCGGTATTAAACTGCTTACACGATTTCGATTTCTAATAAGAGAAAAAGAAGTCGTGGCGTACATACTTTTTTCGGAAAAATATTCCAGTGACAACCCATATTCGTCGGCTTTATGAAAAGGCGTATCTCGATTTTTGGCGATTTTGAGATATCAACGTCATGACATACCCAATGGGTCATATTTTAACATAACGAATTTGCGCATCTCAATATTGTACCTTTTTTGTTTTATATTCATTTAAAAATTTGCCCCATCTCAAATACTACAATTCTTCGTTATGACGAAGAGACGTATGTTGAGATAGGGCTCTTTGTTATATCAATTGTTACACCAATTGTTATACTACAAGAAAGATGGAATTTGAGATAGGTCCTTTTGTTTTAAGTTATGAAAATGCATGCGAGGGAAAATCACGCCATTCTCCCTAATTATTTTCTGATGGTTGCTTGGGACAAAATAAAACTTCTATCATGGCAGCAGCTCTCTTTTACAGTGTGATTTTAAGTCTGTTTTTTTTTGCCAAAAACCATTGTTAGAATGAGCTAGACTCTGCACATAGCTGTATCGGGTATGCAAACGATTGTCCGAGAATAAATGGCCGAAGAAAAATTGATCGAAAGCAAAACAACGAAACGAAAATTGTCCTAATCGAAAAATTCCCCAAATTATAATTACCCTAAGAACATTTAAGCGAACCAAAAACTTGCCCGAAAAATACAATAATTTTTATCTCATTATCATTGTCAGACCATTGGCATTGTTATCCCTCTCAATTTTTGGAAAATTTTATTTATTGTGCCTATCATCATCCTGCATAAACAAGTAGAATGGAAGTCGAATTTGTTATCATTGAACAGAAACTGTTAGTCCACAGTTATTTGTATCAAAAAGGCACGAATGAAGAAACATGTTTTGTTTTTGTTTAGTTTGGTTTTTATTAAATGGACCGTCAGTTTAAATGCCTTGTATTAATGCCCTCAATTAATTGAATAATTACTAAAAATATATTAGTTAAAAAATGTATTTTTGTATAAAAAACAATTTATTAAAATAAACTAGATAAGTGTATTTTAATTGATTATTGTCTTTGCTTCTGGAATAAAAATTGTCTTTGTTTTCAGTTGATTTAATCCAACGCGAATAAAAGTATTTAATATTTGTTTCTGATTTTTTGGTGATTTTCAGATTTTTTCTGTATGTATTGTATTTTCTTGTATGTATTCCATAATGTGAATATTGATTTTTTTTTTCCTTATTAAGAACACTTTACCATCATTTTTAAATTTATTTTACATGGGCGTATGTATACTATTCGTTCGGAAATAAATTTATTATTATTACAACAAAAAGGCCTATCTCTATTAAACAACTAAAAAGAAATTATTTATTAGAATTTACGCACAATTTATCTTCAGAACGTTTCCTCAATGTCTCCGTTTAAGTGTTAATACAAAAACACTATTAAAAAATTAAAGACTTTACATTTATTGGCCAAATAAAGTAAGTGATTTTCTTTAAATTGCTCTGCTGAAAAGTAGCAAAACTCGAGATACGCCTTTTCATCATCAAGCCGACGAATATGCACGTCCCTGGTGAATAGGTCGACACTTTTATAGCTTTAAAATATATCCCATTTATAGTAAATTTTACCCTCAAAATTTCATTCGAAACGCTAAAAGTACTTAGAAGAAAATTATAATAAATCGAAAAAATATTAAGACTTTACCGGTTGCACACCCGGTAGCTACGAAACAAAGCAGAATCGAATCTAGGTTGATATGAAAAATAAATCTTATATTTACGTGAGGTATCTCCCCACGAGAGATGGCAGATATTTTTTGGAACACCCTATATATATAGTAAAAAATATTTTGTCTCGTCTTGGTTTAGTCAATTAGCATTTAAAATGTTTAGCAACGTAAATGCAATTTTGACTGAGCTATTCATTTCAATTATGTCCTCTTAATAAATCATTTTAATTTATTTTTATTAGAAATTAGTGTTGGGTACTTACCTGTGTTTTGTGACGGGTATCTCGAATAGCCTTAATCATGTGCAATCCCATTTCGACGCAGCAGTGTGCATGATTCGCTCGTGGGACAGGCAACCCTGATACACAATAGTAGCAATCGCCTAACAATTTAATCCTCAAGCAATGGTTTTCCTGCAAGGAATTTAAAATAATTACATAATATAGTATTTTGTTCCTACATTATTTAACCGTGTGTTTTTCCGAAGAGGTTCAACCCTATAACTTTTATATTTTTGTATTTTTTTATTTCTGTATTTATGTATATTCAGACAAAAAAAAACGAGATTTGGTGGAATTTTTTCCGGTATTTCCGCCATATTGAAAATATTTTCTTAATCGATAGATCTCGTTGTGAAACAATGATGTGCAAAAAATCTCCGGTCTAGATATTGTGGTTCTCTAGAAACTGCTAATGCATGCTCAGCCTGGAACACCCTGTATTACATTAGGAAATAATTTATAGAGTTGCCCAACAACCTAAATATTATTATCTGCTCTTAAATCAAATCAAAAACTAAATTCTAAATACGTTTTCTTACCGCTGCTAACTTATCAAATCTTGCAAATAGTTCATTCAAAATCTTGACTAGTTCCTGAGCACTGCATTTGGTAGCCAAAACTGAAAACAAGTATAAATAAATTACTTGATACGAATAAGTTTTAAAACTAACCAGTAAAGCCCTTGATGTCGGCAAACAAGATGCTGACGTTCTCGTATCTGTGTATGTAAATTTTGTGAAATTGATGGGGTTGAAAATGTCCTCCTCGTTCTTCTTTTTCGATATCTCGAATCATTTCTTTGGCAACAAAATCTGGAAGCACTAATAAAGAAATGCATTAATTTGGCTTAATTTATCTATGTGTAATCAATTGGTGATTTGTTCAAAATTTATTAATGTCACTATTTTCCGTAAATATTAGTTTTACTTATGTAATTCATCACACATCATTATTATTATTATTACCACTTATATTTATAAAAATGTACCTGACAAGAGTAATTTTTCTTGTTTATCATTTTCCACCTGTGTCCTAAATCTAGTCTCCATCGATCTGTGCGTTTCCAAAAATGCTTTCCTTTGACTTCTGTCAGTTAAATATTTTGTATACATGCCTGCAAAGTTGACGCAGATGTAGAGAATAATATTGGCTACTATTCGCTTGATTTTGCAAGCGTCTTCTTCCTGCAACTATACAAAGAAAATTAATAAATAACGGAGCACAACGGTTTCTTTAATCTCTCTAAAGTTTAAACAGTGGCGGATCTAGGCGTGGGCAATGTGGGCACCTGCCAACGACGCCAGGCGCCAAAATATGTCCGAAAGCAATAGGTGAAAACTCTAATCACGTACCGCATGCACACATAAGGTATGTTAGTAGTTTCTGCAAACATCATACCTACAAGTAAAATTTCGGCACAGGGGCGGAAAAATATAAGTATGTCCGAAACCAGTAGTAAAAACTCTAATCACCTTTTATATCATACAATAAAATAGTAAAATTTAGATAGAAGACGCTACCTAGAGCGTGCGGCAGGCACTTCGCTCATCAGCGAATTTTCGGTGAATGCGCTGGAAACATCTATGATGTGGCAATAATTTTCCGATTATCCCATGTATTTACCATTGCTTGCAGCGGTACGGGGGGGGACGTGTCTACACATTTTTTGAATTGTGGGGGCGCCAAATTCTGTCTTTACCCACGACGTATTTTACCCTAGATCCGCCACTGGTTTAAATAATACTGTAGAGTAAATAAAATATAAAAACAATATTTTAAGTAACTTAACCATTAATAAAATGTTATTAATAATCCCTCAATTAGTAATATTATTAATTATTAATTTAATTACGAACACAAGATAATGAGAAATGGAGACAGTTGGGGAACAGATCTATACAGGCTGTCCCAGAAATAACTGCAAGTGTTTTAAGGGATGGTAGATCTCGATAAAAGAAACATATTCTGAACTTTCAAAATTTTTTTTTCGCGTAAGAAACCTCATAGACGTGTTTCTGGAGTATACTACCAGTTAAAATACTTGCACTTATTCCTGCGACACCCTATATAATTCTCTAAAATATAATCGTCATAATTCTCAACTCATTTTTTTCCATTGATACATATAAATTATATTTAGAATCTATATTTCCAATTTATTGGGCCGTCATTATCTTTTATTTCAACATGTTCAGTCTACTTTTGGTTCTCTAGGCGCGGCACAGACGTCCACTGGTCAATATTCGTCGTTTGTAACTAATCAAAATCTTATTTGAACAGATATATTGACAGTTTGTCCCGAAAGTACTACATCTTAATCTACTCCTGCCAATAAAATTAATTTATTATGAACTATACTATAGGCATGAATCAACGTATCTTCCAAGGGAATTAGATACCCTTATTTGCTATAGAGTACACTACTTTCCGGGAATATTTATTTAAATTAAAAAAGTATGTAGTAGCTGGAGGAGCTCGTAAAAGTGGACAGGATCGATTAGCTAATTTACGACACCCAATAAAAATCACGTTAAAACGTGCCACCAATGACCTATAATGACATCATATTACCACAGATATTACTTAATAGGGCTCATTAAATCCACGGGACCAACACAAACACAATATTAATACTGTTCCCTAATTATTGGGGAATAAAAATATAGATTGCTCAACTAACATAGCCAAAAGTTTATAGCCTACTTGCAAGCAAAATTTAAAAAAAAAGAAATTTCTATATTTTTCGTTTAAAAAATATAACAGGACTTTTAAATTTTAACAATATTTTGTAATTTCAATTAAAAATTGGAAAATCGACAGCCAACAGCGTTCTCTCTATAAATTACTATAGCGAAATATTATGCATCACCGAAGAAAAAAACTAAACGATGTCAATAATTTATTAATTAGTGTATTTTAGTTTAATTTTTGTAACTTTATTGTATCAATTTTGCTTGCTGGGATTAATGATGGGATTACTCAAATTGAAAATAATTTATAATTCATATTACAAGAATAATAAAAGATACACATAAAATAATCAAAGAATTAAGAACAAACTGTCACACAAGACGTTACTTTGCTCGAGTCTGATATTTTTGAGTACGACTCGGAGATAGGCCAGAAATAGCCAAGTATCATGAGTGGCATCGACTTCAAATAAAAATATTGGACCAATGAGAATTTATTCCTTACCAAAATTAGCCCAAGCATGTGACAGGGCAGAGGTCTCTGATAGAGCTGCATCTGAATATAGTTAATTCAAGTGATACATCAAAAATAAATGACAGAAGTAATAGATAAAGGAAATAAAATTAGATTGGAATGCCCGTCAAAATTTTGGGTCGCGAAATTATTTTGGGTCCCGACCGTTGTACGCGATCTGGCGCTGGTATAGCGGTGCTAAGAAAAACCGCAAACAAAAACAGAAATAATTTTCTGTTGTCCATATCTCTTGTCAAAGTCAGATTCTCCAAAAATTATAAAATCTTTTAAAATGTAAACCGCTCTCATTGAAAAAATTCCCAAAAATTTTTAAAGCGTCCATTTTCAAAGTAATTATTGCTATCTTGTGAGTTTATTTTAAGTTTTATTTACTCTAACCCGTGATAATTGTGAAAAAGTGGCATTAAAAACTTAAAAAGGTGTGCTGTGAACTGTGAACTGCAAAAACCATCGTCGAACGTGGCATAAAGTCGCCGTCGGTTTCCAATGTTTCATAGGTACTTCATACCATGTCCTTATATAAAATAAAGTTTCTTGTATGCAATACACTGTATTTTATTTATAAAATTAAAAGAAAATAATAATAAATTTGAATAAAAATTATTTGGCGATAAAATTCCCGAAAAAGCCGAACCGCTCCGAAAGTTTCAAAAGCTATGAGTCGCGACCGTTGCAAGAATAGCGCCAAAAAATAGTGTTTACATTGTCCTTATGGGCACTTTCCAATCTAAACTTGTTTCATTTATATATGTTATTATCGTAAAATCAATGTAACAGTTTGACAGATCATTGACAATGAATGGCCAAAAAAGAATTTTATGACTGTAAAAAAACATGTAATGTGTTACTTACTTCGTACTTTCCAAAATAATACACCCTGACGCACACCAGTATAACATGACTTATAGCAGATATGCATCCGGCCATTATACACCATCTTAGTGGCAAAGGCAACATAGCATAAGATACGAATATGATAAAGAGGACGTACCATACCATACTCTCCTTCAAACCGAAACCAATACCTTCGCTGCAAATGCCTAAAATAATAATAACATATGTAATAATATTTATAATTATAAAATAGATTAGTGATAGTCGTAAGGCTCCAACCAAAAAAATGACTTTTTTGTATAATGTTTCAACTAAAAAAAATATATATATTTGTAAAATGTACAGGGTGGGTCAAATTCGACGCTTTTAAATGGAAACACCCTTTTCTATAGGAGATAGACGAAAACTAATATCGGTGTCTGGAGCTCAATTTTCATCAAAAACATGATGGTGAAAACCGCACATCGATATCTGTTACCGTTTATGAGTTACGGGGTGATTTTAAAAAATGTGCATTTTTAAGAGATTGCTGTAACTTTTTTGCTATGGAAAATTTTGTATTTCTATGAAAACATTTCCAAAGCACCTTTTTACGTAGAATTTAATTGTTTAAGTATAATTTTTTTAAAATTAATAATTTAAGAGTTATCAACAGAAAAATTGATTTTTTATTTGGGACACCCTCTATATTTTTAATTAACTGAAATGAATTTAAAATTACTTTTGCAAAAATATAGCACACTTGATATTTTGTTATAATTCTCTTCGAAATACAGAATTTTTCAGTTCGCCACTTTTAAGTAGTAGGCTTTGGAACCCTTATTGATGATATGCCCTTAATGGAACTCGAAAACATATTTTTCCAGCAAGACGACGCACCGCCTCTAAACGCTGAAGTTATCAGCAGATTTTTGCAGCCAATTTCAAGAATAATTGAATAGCTAACCAAGATCCCAGCCGTTGGCCGTCGAGGCCGCCTGACTTAGTGCCCATGGATCTAATCCTATAGATATATTTGCGGAAGAATAAAGATTCCTTATTCTTCCGTATAATTTAGACAAGAATTAAAAATACTTAGCAGTTATGAGAGGGTATCTTTCACCCCCACTGAGTTAATGATTCCGAGAGAAATGTTCAAAAACTGCCCCGTCTGTCCATAACAGAAGACGGTCGATATGTCGAACACCTGTAGCAAAATCTCATGTTTTGGTTTGCTATTTATTTTTATTGTTATTAGATATAGTTTAGATGTGTTGATGTTGGTTACATATTTTTTAAATTGTTATAAAATTCTGCATCTCTCATAGCAAATATTATTTTCGTTTTAATTGATGCTTACAGATAGATTTTTTTTGCATTACAGCCGGTGCCGTTCAAAGCCTACCTATTTAAAGCGGGCGAATTTTTATATACTCTATATCTCGAAGAGGAATCGAGCAAAATATCAAGTGTGTTATATTTTTGGAAAGGCAATTTTAAATTATGTTCAATAAATTTAAAATATACAGGGTGTCCCATATAAAAAATCAAATTTTCTGTTGATAATTGAAGGGTCGGCCGTAACAACGTTGTATATAACAAAAGGAGTGAATGGAATAAATCACGAAAAACGATAAGAGGTCATTTAGGTGATGATAAAACTTCGTATTTAGTATAGTTTACTAAAGTTGCTATAACTATACTGATTTATAATTTTTAAAAATGCTTATTACGAAATATCCAACTATAGAGGTCATTATTGTGGAAAATGCATGTAACAACGTTGTATGTTCATGTAACTTACAACGTTGTTACACGTAAGCAATGTATATTAAATTAAAGCAAATTATTTTTTAATAAATTTACTATATTAATAAAGGTTTTAAAGAAAGAACTTACATAACGCAAACATTATTTTCAAAAAACTGGTTTTACAAAATAAAATCTTAGTACTAGATAAATTAGAATATTGCTCTTCGGCATCTCTTGAACGTTTTCTCGCGTTTTGTTTCCAGTTCTCTATATTTAGTTTCCTTTTTCTCCCCTATTTAAGTGGGAAATATCCGCGGGTGAAAGTTGCACCGCCCTCTTACTAAGCGCTTAAACGCACGTACAACGTTATTATCGGGAATGCAAGGCTGGCACTGACTGAAGGTCGCCCTATTGCCAGACATCGGGCAAAATTTTTCGGTTCCAGTTGCGCCAATACATTCAAATATGCTTATAAAACGTTGTTTTAGGGAAACATCACATTTCAGCAAAATGTTACATACAACGTTGTTACGGCCGACCCTTCAATTCTTAAATTATTAATTTAAAAAAAATATACTTAAACCATTAAATTCTATGTAAAAAGGTGCTTTGGAAATGTTTTCATAAAAATACAACATTTTCCATAGCAAAAAAGTTACAGCGATTTGTTAAAATGCATACTTTTGAAAAACACCCCGTAACTCCGGAACGGTAACAGATATCGATATGGGGTTTTTATCATCATGTTTTTGACAAAAATTGAGCTCCAGACACCGATATTAGTTTTTGTCTATCTCCTATAGAAAAGGGTGTTTCCATTTAAAAGCGTCGAGTTTGACCCACCCTGTACTAATGCTGGTATCCTCAGTATAAATGTTAGTGACAGATCTGACCAAAACCTTGCGTAAAATTTCCAATTTAAAGGAACATCAGTCCGAGAAGATATTAACTTTTTCAAATTGTACGTATTTATATATTTAGAAAAGAGATAGGAGTTATGAACTAACTAAAGATTATGCTTTTCTATAATTTTCTACGCTATGGAACTCAATATAATTATAAAGTTGACGTAACTATTTCTAAAGTCTCGTTAGAAAACTTACAACCGCGCTTGTTAACGACTTTCACGGCGTTGCGATGTCCAATTTGCCAAGAACAAAACTTTCACGCTTCGCCGTGATCTCCCTTTGAAACTTGAACCAACTAATTTGTTTCGAACCAAAACTTACGTTATAATTACGAAAATAAGTCTCTTAAGGTAGGTACTATATCGTGGAGGAGCAGAACTAAATGAAAAATGAAAGATATGACAACCTATAGTAAAATCTTTGGTAAAATCAAGGGTAAAATCAAGGGTAAAATTAAGATGTATAATTTTATGTTGTATGTTTTTAGATTTTTATAGTTGTATAATAAAAATATATATATATAAACTTCTCGTGTCATATTTTCTATGGTAATATTTAAGAAGAATAACCATTTGGAATTTTAATTACTTGATACTTTTTTAATCATTATACGATTTTTAAACATCCAAATAAAAATTACATATGTCGACATCGAGGTCGACAACAAATACTAAAATCTGTTATTCCCTGAAATGCATAGTCGTTCCGCGTATTGCCAAATAGCGTAGCTCTTTAATTAGTACATTGTTTGACTGGATGGATCTTTATTTATTTTTTCTAATTTTGCTGATATTTGACATTTTTAAGCAATACTCGCATTGGAAAAACAATAGTTTTACCTTTTCACCATGTTAAAATATCGAAACCTAGTTCAAATAATTTATTGTATATACAGGGTGATTCCTGTAAGTCGGTCATGCTTTCGAGGAATGATAGGGGACGTCGAAATATTAATTTTGATATAGCACACTATGGGTCGGAAATGCCTCTTACGCAAGATACAGGGTGTTAAAGCCTTTGAAAAATTAAAGATTTTCTTTAATAGTTTTTTAACAGTTGAAGGTATCGTTATAAAATTTTATTATAGGAATCTACCTAACAAAGACACTTTAAATGTAAATAGAAGAGGTTTTAGTTTCAACCAGTTGCGTAGCTGTGATACGCATCGGGTAATTTTTTCAAAAAAAGATAGTACGCAACTGATAAAAATAAAAATTTGGGAGTTTTTTTATTTACTCGGTTTTTTTCCAAGAAAAAATGTCTCTTGCAACTTTCTACTATCTAACACGATTTTGTCACAATTTCAAAATAAATAAATTTTTTAACGAGAATCTTAAATACAGAATTATTATAACTAGAGGGCAGAAACACATGTGCCTCGTTAGCTCCCTTCATCTTGGGTAACTTTAGTACTTTTTACTATTAGCACTAAATAAATTTTTTAAAAATTATAAATTTAAACTAGAATTTTTTTATTGTTAATAATAAAATTCGTAGTTTTAAGGTAGTTATAATAATTCGCATATTTAAGGTTATCATTAAAAAAATATTTATTTTTAAATTGTGACAAAATGGTGTGATATAGAAGAAAGTTGCAAGAGACATTTTTTCTTGGAAATAAACCGAGTAAATAAAAAAACTCCGAAATTTTTATTTTTATCAGTGGCGTACTATTTTTTTAACCATTTCCGACCCATAGTGTGCTATATCAAAATTAATATTTCGACGTCCCCTATCATTCCTCGAAAGCATGACCGACTTACAGAAATCACCCTGTATACATCACTCAGAAAAAAAAACAGTTCTGAACATTATAGGCTGTTATAATTAGCGATGATCTCTATTTCTGAGGAATTTTTTTTTTGATAAATAATTTTAAAAAACTATCTAGTTCATCAATTATAATACGTTAAGTACACTAAAACTAAAAAATTGGCGCCGGGAGGCACGTATAGCCGCCCATACTAAAATAATATTTTTTATTAACATATTATATTATTAACACAACTTTTTATTAACATATTACGTTAATAAAAAGTTGGTAGGCAGTTCTTTTAGTTTCAAAGTAAAGGAATTTTTCCAATTTCTTTTTATCTCAAAAACTGCGACTTTGATTTTGATGTTATTACAAATTTTGTTGCAAATATTATTCCTAATCTTAAATTGAAAACCGCGTTTCGCTAGCTACTGTAATTTTGGAGTTACGGTTTTTTTAAATTTTTAACCCCCTCCCATACCTCCTTACCAACCCCCCACCCCCACCAAAAACTAATGGCCATATTCTCGGGTGCCATCATGTTACAGACGGACAGACAGACGGACGGGCAGCCAGACACAATGAAAATATTTTGTATTTAGGTCATTTATGTGTGAAATTAAAAAATCTTTTTTTTTGCCGATCTTAATAGCCTACCATACCTATTGGTATGGTCGGCTAACAAAAATATATATATTGGCCACTAAAACTGTCCTATAATGCACTTAATACACGGAAAATCTTTAGAAAACAATGTAAAATTGTTTGTAAACAGTAAACAACTGCTGAGAACAAAACTGCTGAGCACCAC